CAACCTGCGCACCGACGACGCAAAACCATTCAGAGAGCGCAACCCGCGGATTTCGCGCGCGTTGACCTCGCGCTTTGCGCCAGCGATCGGCGCAAGTCTGGCGGGTTTCGCTCTGGGCATCTGCCCACAGGACCAGCTCCGACTGACTGCGGCGATTTACACAGGCACCAGGAGTTTGGAGTTCTTGTTTAATGTCCTGGACTCCAAAGGCTGGCTGGATAAGCGCCCATGGTGGTTCGGCAGCTGGCTGTTGATGCCCATCTCATTTGCGCAGCTCTTCCATGCTTTTGTGTTTGATCGCGAGACTACACCTAATGTTCGTTCTCGGGAATTTTTCTTTTTAAACTATGGTCGCTAATTTGATGCCATAGTGGTTTGGAAAGGTCATTTTCAAGCTCTCACCGAGCTACATCCAAGGCCGACCGGAGTCGCTCCCGGTCGACATCGCCTGGCCCGAGAAGGAAGAGATTGTGGACTCTCTTGCCTCTATTGCTGATCTTCGCTGGCCGTACGTTTGAAGTTGGGTCTGTCAAAGAGTGTAGCGGTCGCTAATATGACACAGGGCATTCGTCTCTCCAATTCTACACCCGGGCGACCCCAACACCTTACCGTCATCAGTGGCGTCCATCTCCCCAATGACTGGGCCAGCACATCCTGCAATCTCAAGTCTGTCATGTGCTCTCTTGCACCCGAATCTCCCGAACTGTAGCACAGCATTCTTGCATCACATTCTCCTCTCTGTGCCACCGCTTGCGCGGTTCCTCACTACCGTCACTCTGGCGCTTTCGATTCCCAAACTTAAGAGCATTCTGCTTCAGCCTATGTCATCAGTGAACACTATATCGAAGCGCATTATCACCATGACAGCGGTTCTTTCTGCCGCAATTGGCTCAGCCTGGGGTAGTGTCTGTCTCCTGAATAACAACTTGCCTCGAACGACGCTTCCTACCAAGCGGTTCTTCCTCAGTGGAGCATTGGGCGGTCTGCCATTTTTGTTCCTGGGCAACAGTCGCAGCACATTCCTCTGGTTCTTCCGGGCCGCTGTTGATTCAGCGTACAAGACTGGGGTTAAGCGTCGACTATGGAAGGGCCGAAAAGGCGGTGAGTTACTGTTGTTTGTCCTGTCCTGGGCGCTTATGGGTTCGATCCTTGAGGGGAATCCTGAGGCCGTGCGGGGTGCTGGATTGCGTAAAGCTCTTGCTTGGTTGAGAGGTGATGGATTTGGAGATCCAGTGGATATTGCGAAACGCAAACTGCGACGGGAATCGAAGAGACCCGACGGAAATTGAATTGTCGGGTTAATAGGCGCTTTTTTTAATGTCCGGTATCTTATTTTAGGAGTTTGTCGGTGTGGAATTCACTTTCCGGCCCCACGTTTGCGGAGATGATCTTCGGAGACTGGCCTCCGCATTTACTCCGCATTTAGCCCCAGCTTATAACTTCGAGCTCCCTTCAACATTCCCCCTTTATATTAGCAATTGAGTTTTCATTTCTTGATATCCTTATCCTATATATCCTATACATTTACACGATGACTTCCCAAAGATTGAAGATCGGCTGTGCTGGTCTTGGCCGTATGGGCAAGCGCCATGCCCTGAACTTCCTGCAGCGTACTCCCCGAGCTGAGCTTGTGGCTGCCAGCTCTCCTGACCCCGACGAACTCGAATGGGCCAAGATTCACCTCGAACCTTTTGGCGTAACCCTGTACCAGAACTACGACGACATGCTCAAGCATGAAGGTCTGGTTGCCGTGGTGGTTGCATCGGCAACTATAGTGCATGCCGAGCAAGCAATCAAGGCAATTGAAGCAGGCAAGCACACTCTTTGCGAGAAGCCTCTCTCTACAAGTCCCGAAGTGGTAAGTTGGTTGTATTTTGAATCCATCTCAACCCCAAAACAGCCTAGTAGTCTACCGAATACGAAGAACCAAACATTGGAACAAGAGCTAACAATCCGCCTCTTATACAGTCACAATCCGTCGTCGACGCAGCAAAGAGGAACCCACACCTCAAAGTGATGTGCGGCTTCTCCCGTCGCTTCGACAGTTCCTACCGAGACGCGTACAAGAAGATGCGGTCAGGCGCAATCGGCACTGCATCCGTCCTCCGCAGCCAAACCTGCGACAAGCTCGATCCCAGCGGATTCTTCGTCGCGTACGCAGAGTTCTCCGGCGGCATCTTTGTCGACTGCTCCATCCACGATATCGATCTGACACTCTGGTTCTTCGGCAACGAGTGCAAAGTGAAGTCCGTGTCGGCAGTAGGCATCACAGCCGTCGAGCCCGATCTGCGCAAGCACAACGACCGCGACAACGCCGTCGGCTTGGTCGAGTTCTACGACGGCCGCATGGCCTACTTCTATGCTTCCCGCATGATGGCTGCTGGCCAGGAGGATACCACAGAGATCATTGGCACCAAGGGAAAGCTGGCGGTTAACACTCAGCCTGCCCTGAACCATGTTAATATCTTTGATGAGTCCGGCATCAGGAGGGAGATCCCCCAGAACTACTATGATCGCTTTGAGTATGCGTTTGTTACCGAGGCTAATGAGTTCTCGGCTGCTTGTCTTGATAACACGGCGCTGCCTATTGATCTTGAGAACGCTGTTAAGGCTGTTCGGATTGGTGCTGCGCTGCAGGAGTCGTTGATTACCGGGAAGAAGATCTTCTTCGATGAGGATGGGAGCCGCTTGGAGTTGGCTCGTTTGTAGATAATGTGTGATGCGCCTTGTGTTTTTCAAAATATACACCATATATACATGCACTGCTCTTTTATAGATACCCTAAAATTAAAGCAATATATGGCTTTCAATATGCTGCAATCTTGTATTCTTGTTTTAAAGTGGACTCATCTACCTCTACATATGGTAAATCAAAGGAAATCATTTAATAACTTCCTTATACGCACGCAGGTGCGGGCTTTCCTTTGCAGTGTGGCGTGTTAGTGATGCTTAGTACCGTTTGCAATCCAGCATTCTATGTGGTTATCAATAATGTTTGAAGGGCTAATTACATTCGTTCCTATCAATCTAACTTCTGGATTTGATTGCCCACAATTGGAAAAGTATGATTTATAACGCTAATTGAATGTGATGGCATGTATCGTGGCTACTTCCATGGAACTGGAAGGAAACGGGGAATCATGAAAAACTTGTATAGAATAAAGACGCATGAAGACCAAATTGCAGACATCTACCACTTCAGGACCTTGGTGGGGAAGTACTCGTCGATGAGCTCCAGGTAGTACGGCTAGAAAGAAGCAAGTTAGCCTCTAGTTCGTAAATCATCAGCAGAAGTAAAACATACCTTCAACTCCTCAACACTAGGAATTCCATCACTCTTGCTGTACAAGTCATACGGGTTGAAAGCTTTAACAGCACGCAGCATATCACGGTCGTGGTCATTCATCAACTCGTGGTATGCACCGGCGCTGTGCCATGGATAGAAAGAGTGGTAGCGGATCATAGCGAGCGCCTCATCAGGAAGGGTCGACTGCTCCTTAGCGAGGTGGTATAGGTATTCATCGTGGCCCCAGGAGAGCATGACCTTATCGAGACCACAGCCAGGTGTGTAGATACCGAACTTAGTATCGTAAATCTTGTGGCCGAAGTCCTCGTTATCGCGGAACGAGTCGCGGCCGTAGACGATCTTGTCGTCGAAGGCACAGCCGACGGGGAACGTGTCGCCGACAACGTCCCATTGGCCTTCGGCATCGAAGAAAAAGAGGAGCTTGCCCAGGTCGTGGATCAGGCCGGTCAGCTGCATCCAGCGGGGCTTGCCGTCGCGGCGAATGGCCTCGGCAGACTGGAGTAGGTGTTCGATCTGGGAAAGGCTGGTGTCGGGGTCTGACTCGTCGATCAGGGTGTTGAGTTTTTCCATGGCTTCCCAGACGGTCATCTCGGCACGCGTCTTGCTGTGGAAGTCGTGGCGGGCCTTCAGATTGTAGGCGACGGTCTGCTTGGTGTGCTGCTCTTGGTAGAAGTTCTTGACTCGGTCGCTGGCGTCTTCGTACTGGCGGAAATTGGTCTTGTCTTTCTCCTTGTCGAACTCGGACTCCTCGTATAGACCCTTCTCTTCGGCCTGTTTCTTTTCGGCCTCGCGCTTCTTCATGTCCTTGAGAACGTTGATCTCATCAATAGCGTCGGAGAGCTCTTCGAGTGCCTGGCCATCCCGCTTCTTGAAGACAGGGGAGGCCTGTGGGGAGACAGCGACTGGTGCCATTTCGACTGTCTGGGAGAAGTATCGTTTGTTGATTTTTATATATGATCCAACTTAAGATTTGCCAAATGAGATTGCAATTAACAAATCAGGAAACTCTGGAGTTGAAAGAGATAGACCTTAGGATGTCGAGCGTATATATAGGGTCAAGGCCTGGAAAATCTAGTAAAGGGAATATCGCGTGTAGATTTCCGATGTCAGCGGTTGTGCGAGGGTGCCCCCCATATTCATTTGCCTGGTTTTCCATGGCATCGATGTACTTCGTTGCGGGACGAAAATTTTATGAAACATCACGGATTCTGGCTTCCGCGCTGATGAAGATCTGGGTTGCTCTCCAAAAGGACGACGATGATTGGCAGCCACAGCGACCCCACGACCACAAGCCAACCATGCGGAGTGGCTGTGATGTCAAGTGGGGAAGGAATTCTTCGAGCTGGAAGACGGTTTCCGCTGGTTCGGTGGTTTGTCTTTTGGTTTTCGATCTGATTTTGATCTGACGGTTATTGTGTGGTGATATTCGATTCTTTTTTGAGATGGAGATGGAGAAAATATAGTCCCCAGTGGAAAATTCCAGAACACATCGAACATCTCAGAAGACGGTGAAGGTGATTGATGGAAAAATGGCGACGTCTTGGCCAACGGAATAACCCCGATAGCCGCGTGGGGTTGTTATACTTAGTAAACCCCCGCCTTTCTGTTGGACATTTCAACTTCAATCTGTTTACATTCCTTATTCTCTACTGTAAATAATCTTCTTCGTCACTTGATACCCTATACATTCACAATGGCTGCCTGCGACACCCGTTTCAAGCTCAACACCGGTGCGGAGATCCCCGCACTCGGCTTGGGAACATGGCAATCCCAGCCCGGCGAGGTTGCGCGCGCCGTATTCCACGCTATTAAGGTGGGCTACCGTCACATTGACGCCGCTCTCTGCTACGGCAACGAGAACGAAGTCGGCCAGGGTATCAAGGAGGCCATTGACGCCGGCATTGTCAAGCGCCAGGATCTCTTCGTGACCACGAAGCTGTGGTGCTCCTTCCACGCCCGTGTTGAGGAGGGCCTCCAGCAGAGTCTGACAGATCTCGGACTCGACTATGTCGACCTCTATCTGATGCACTGGCCCTTGGCAATGAACCCCAGGGGTGAGTTAAGTTTCTTCAAATATGCAGATTCGAGGGGCTGACCTTTTCCACCACAGGAAACCACAATATCTTCCCTAAGCTCCCCGATGGATCGCGGGACATTATCCACAGCCACTCCCACGTTACTACGTGGAAGAGTATGGAGAAGCTCGTTGGCACCGGCAAGGTCAAGGCTATCGGTGTTTCCAACTACAGCGTCAAGTTCCTTGAGGAACTCCTCCCCCAGGCCACTATTATCCCCGCTGCAAACCAGATCGAGAACCACCCCTCGCTCCCCCAGCAGGAGATTGTCGACTTCTGCAACAAGGCTGGCATCCACATCACCGCTTACAGCCCACTGGGCAGCACTGGCAGCCCGCTGTTCACTGCTGAGCCCATCGTGGCTGTCGCCAACAAGCGCGGAGTTACTCCGGCTACTGTTCTGCTCAGCTGGCACAGTAAGTATTCTTCAAGGTTCTGCACTCTAGATCGGATACAGCGTACTAACTGGTTGTCCTCCTAGTCGCCCGTGGCTCTTCAGTCCTGGCCAAGTCCGTCACCCCTGCCCGTATCGAGGCCAACCGTGCCGACTTGATCCACTTGGATGCTGAGGATCTCGCTGCCCTTCGCAAGTATAGCGATGGCCTCCAGGCTGAGGGCAAGCTCCAACGCTTTGTCTACCCTCCGTTCGGTGTCAACTTTGGCTTCCCCGATAAGCAGTAAGCTTTCTTCGCACGTGAAAAGAATGGTCGATAGACTTGCTACATGTATAGAAAGGACCGGTGCCTTTTCGTTTTATGA